CTAACTTTGGTCGAACCTCTTTGATTGAATCAAATGTAATGATATTGGTTTCATTCAAACCTACTCCACATTTTCTCAACGGAATGAGAAAGAGATTTATGAACCCTACAAGCTGTCTTAAAGACTCACAAATGTTATCTAAATTGTCTAAAAAATATGGGGAGTGTGACGCGAAAATCTTGGAAAATAATTTGGCAGTCTGCCCTTTGCAAAAAAGCTTAACAAACGGATCACCCGTACCCTTATAGTACCTTATGATGTTCTTGACCACGTCCTCGGGCGACATACCATCTAAATGCTCCACGATGTCCTTCTTAATATCCTCTTTGTCTTTCTCGGCAAAGCATACAATCGCATGCTTCTCTAAGACACCATTTATACTCTGAATTGATTCTGCTACTTTATCAACAACTTCTCCTAAGCACATAAATGCATCCTCAGCTGCTTTACTCATTGCTTCCTCGTTCTCACTCAATTTTTTCGTTGCATCTGTACCCTTCCTTACAAGCTTGATATATTCATTACTGCTGCAGTGCACCCCAGGAACTGAAAGTCCAAAGAACAAAAGCGCAATACCAAGAACTAAACGCATATCCTCTCTGTTTTTCTTTTATTTATACTTTTTTCGTTATCTTTTTGATATGAAGACGTTTCTTTAACAGATATTATGAAAGGAGAACAACTTTTCTTGCAAACGAGGTTGATTAAAAGCATCAAATTAATGCGTTTGCATACGATAAATTAGCTTGGAACAATTCAATGGGAAGAAACTGTCTTGAGTTTCATTTGCGAGGTGATGTACTAACAGCTGCACTGCATGCAATAGTACGATCATACGAATGCGTTCTTTATCTTTTATTTGAAGTTGATGCTAAATTTATTTGCTGCTTCAATGCATTAATTACTTCTTTTTATTGCTTTTGGTGCTAATCTGCACGAAAAGCCTTTTTACTACCAAAAAGAGAAATTACAAGATCTAAGTAATTAAATGTTCACAAATGTTGGTTTAGTAAAA